AAAAAAGGTCGTTCATTTCTATCCCACTTTTTTGGTTAGTTTTGTCAGAGAAGGGCATTTCATTGTCATTTAAATATTGTAGGTGCTTGAATTCAACAGAATCTCCCAATAGAATCCAGTAGTCCATAATAATAGTGGGTTTTCCGTAAGACTGGCAATGTCCAAAGTTGTTGACTTGAGCTTTTTACAGCTCAGCATATTAATGTGGCTTTACTTTTTATACTTTCTTTTCATACTTTTCTGCTGGATGGTTAATACCAAGATAAAGCAAGACCTATATAACAAGAAATGTCACTTTTGTATCTGAGAAGGTCAGTAAATCCCCTTAGGATTTAACCTGAAACCCTATAACATAATTTGTAGATCCTTTGTTTTTTGTTTTTTGTTGTTACTGTTGTTGTTGTTGTTGTTTGTTTGTTTTGGTTTGTTTGGGGGTTTTTTGGTGGAACTGGGGATTGAACTCAGGCCCCTGCGCATGCCAGGCAAGCGCTTATTCCACTGAGCCATCTCCCTGGCTGTAGATCCTTTGTGAGTGTCAGCCATGTGGATGAATCACAGTCATTGCTTGACCAATTTGCTTTCTGTGAAAGCCTGAGGAAATGTTTTCTCTCCATGTGACTCTCCTTAGGCACACTTTACATCATTGATCACATTCCTCTGTGGCCCCATAATCTCCTTGATCAGAAAATTTGGGACACAACTGAGTTAAATAATGTTACAGTATAGGTTGTCCTATGTCCTGAGTCCTCACTGATCTTGAAAGGCTAGGGCCAAAATGTTGGCTGTCTTTGCAGCCCTTCTTTTCTCTGATTTTTGGTCTGCAAACTCAGCTTGTTAACTCTTCAGAAGAGAAGCTTATTATTACCCTACAACATATGCAGTTGGGTTTAACCTAACTATCTGTCTGAATATTAAACATGTTAGGCATAACATGGAATAGGTATTTTCTATAGGAATAAATTGGTGTTCAGCACAACCATGTTTTTAGTTGTGTCTGCATCTTCTAATCTGTTTCATTGGTTCTCAGGTTTGGGGTTTTTTCCAGTATCATGCAGATTTTATCACATTAGCTTTGTAGTATAATTTCAGGTCAGGGATTGTGATGCCTCCTGCCTTGCCTTTGTTGCCCAGGATTGCTTTTGCTATGCTAGATCTCTTCTGGATCTAGATGAATTTTGGGGCTCTTTTCTCTAGATCTGCGAGGAATACTAGAAATCAACCAATAATGACTGCTAGAAGACTTGTGAGGAAAGGGACACTTCTCATCTGTTGGTCGAAGTGTAGACTTGTACAACCACTATGGAAATCAGTGTGGGGATTCCCCAATAAACTAGGATTAGAGGTCCCATTCATGCCAAATGTTCCCCTCTTGAGTATTTTTCCAGGAAAACTGAAATTATCACACTGCAGTGATGTATGTGCACCCATGTTGATAGCAGCTCAGTTTGTCATCACTATATCTTGGAAACACCCCAAATACCATCAGTAAAGCAATGGATACAAAAGATAGTGCATTTTATACAATAGAGTATTACTCAGCTATTAAAAAAGACAAACTTGAGGCTTTTATAAGTACCCATTTGCCCAGAGATCATACTCATAAGTAAATCAGACTCACATTTGTAAACATCATATTGTCTCGCTAGTTTATTAACCTGAAAGAGTAAATAAAATCCAAATGGTGCAAAAGACATTGTAAAAGAGAAAGAAACTGCTCAATAAGAAAGAACAACTGGGATGAGAGAAAGGAAAAAAAGAAAGAAGGAAGGGACTATATGAAAATTATACTGCTAGTTTCTATTGGTTTATTGAAAGGAACAGTTAATGCTATATATATATAAATTTCGTGTGCTTATATCTGGTAATCTGAACAACTACTTTTTTAAAAATTTTATTTATGTGTGGTGTGTGTGTGTGTGTGTGTGTGTGTGGCCAGCTCAGCCCACCAGGGGGCGGGGCGGGCTGGCATGTGGTGCTGGGGGATTGAACCATGGTCCCTGTGCTTTGCTAAGCTTGTTCTAAGTAGGTGCTTTAGACCACTGAGCCATCTCACCAGCCCTGAACAACTACTTTGAAGAGAATAATTTGAAATATAACAACCATTGTTGCATTCTTATCACCTTATTTTTTGAAATTCTGTTGTTTCTAATTTTTTTATTTTTTTATTCTTTTAAATTAAAAAGGCCAAAAAAAGAACAACTGTGTTGCCTGCTGAAGGTCATTTAACTAGTAAATAGTACAAATAGGATTTTAGTCCACCCAAATATAGAAGTAGCAATTAGGAATTATTTACATGAAATCAAAGTCATCATATTATGGGGTACTCCTTTACCTGGCAGAACCCATAACCTAAGGTTTTCTTTGGCTTTTTCACCATATGTCCAGCCTGTTCATTGGGGCAGCAGGATGTGAGAAACAGGCTTAACCAATTGCAGAGCTATTGCCTTTACTATGCTGAAGTGCTTCCTTTGAAAGGGCTTCCCCCAGGATTACCTGGCAGCATACAGGTAGGATTCCCCTGACCCCACCCCCCATTCTGTATCCTAGTATGATGATTTTCCTCCTCTTTCCCTTCCTACCTCATTCTTTTCATCTTTTGTCTGTCACTTTCACCAAGGTCTTCTATGGGATGTTACGTAAAGAGTTGTTGGAGTTCTCTAACTGAGCCCTGTTGACCTTGGACCTTGCATATGTCTTTGTTTGGGAAGCCTGTCCACACACTGCAGTGGGAGCATCTTTGGCCTCTGTCCACTACATGCCAGTAGTAACTCCCCTCCAGTAATGACAAAGAAAAGTATCTCCCGAGAGGCAACATCACCCCTTTTAAGCCAGCATTATAGTTATGGACCACCAAGGTCTAGAGTTGCATAAATTTGTATTCTAATCCCATTTCTGACACCTCCCCTGTGTGAGTCCCTAGACAAGGTCAACCTCCACAGAAGGAAAATGGTTTATGGTGGATACTGACTTCCATGGAAAGAGGAGCAAGTAGATGTGGAAATTTTGGGTGAGCCACACGAGTCTCTAACAAACGGGAGCCAAATGTCTGCACCAGGCTTTGCACTGGGTTCTGAGGCTCGGTTTGGAGGTAGGCATTATGGTACTTCAAGCTCAGTAAGGAGCAGTGCTGCTAGCATGGTGTCTGCTATTTGTGAACTTTGTCCACCCCAGAACAGCTTGCTCTTCACTGCGTGGCTCATTGCAGTAGCCATGCAGATTGTACATGTTGGTACATGTGCAGCGCTGAATGTACCAGGGCTGTTGTAAGTAGCAAACAATATTAATCACAGCAAATATTGCCATTGTGTAAATTAGAAAGGAAAGACAGACTGGTGGCATTAATTGTTCAAACCTCCCAGTTAGAGAGTGACATCAGCAGAATTTGACCTCTGTCAACTGATTCTTCCAGAAATGCAAGTTTCACATCTCCCACCCCATATTCAATAGATTCAAGATCTCTTTTCCTACCGTACACATATCCTGCAAGGAACTTAGAAGATGAATACTCAATATTCTCTACATCACTGATTCTTAAACATCAGGACCATAAGAGATGCCCTGAGAGGTGGAGCCAGGCTAACAAGGCAAAGTTGCAAACTGGCAGATAAATTGGGCAAGAGCTGTGAGCCACATAACCTGTGCTGACCACAGTGGCTTCTATGTGGTCCACCTCTAATGCGTGCCAGCCATCTGGCTTCTACATCCTCTATTTGGAGCAAAAGTCACTATCATGTGATACAAGAGGAAACCACAGCTCGCAAAGGGGAAATGCATGTCCGTGTCACACTCATTGTGACCATCGCCTCTAACTTTATGGTCTTCGATTCCAAGTGGAAACACAGCACTCCTTATGAATTCACTACATCTTTTAAGCATATTTGTATTCCTAGGACCTTTTATATTCTTTCCTGAAAATCACCTACTTCTACTACTCTGTGTAGGCACTTGACTGGTATCTCAGAGAAGATACTAAAATTAGATGGCAATTTTAAGCCTTCTCTTTCCAAATTGTCCAATCTTCCTGCACTTGTCTTTGTGACTAAAGTCTTGTCCTTTCAAAGACTTGCTTTCCTCATTTGCTCTGAAGCCTTCTCACTCACTTTCCCCAAAACTTGACACCTGCATTTTTTCTTCTATTTTCCTGCACCCCCAACTCTCCCCATTTAATTTCTACTAGGTCACCTCAGCTGTTATATAAAGTCATAATGCTGGTGCCTCTCCCTTTAAAAAGATGTGACCCTTGTCCCACAGTTTTCTAATTCTCTCAAGGGACTCTTTCTGAATTCTAAAGACTGTATCCAGTCAGACTTTTAAAAAGGGTTTCTCTCCCTTTCCTCTTTCTTTCTTCACCTAGCATTTTCTCCCAGCCTCACTCCAGGTGACCAGGGTCCTGCACACTTCACTGAACATCATCTCCTACAAGATGCATAATCTCTTCCTGGTGTCAAATCCACCTGTCCCATTTCCATTCTTATCCTGATTCCCATTGACATCGGGTCCATCAGAATTCTTCCTTCCTGAGACTTCCTTTGCTTTTCCTTTGAGATGATAAGATGCACACATAGGGGCCGGAGAGATATCTCAGCAGACTACAGCACCTGCTTAGGAAAGCTTGGCCAAGTACAGGGACCACAATTCGATCCCCAGCACCACACACTGTGCCAGCTCTGCCCCTAGGGTGCGCTGAGCTAGCCAGAGTTGGGTGTAGTGGTGCATGCCTGCAATTCCAGCCCTGGGAAGGCTGAAAACAGGAAGATCACCACAAGTCCAAGCTGCATAGTGAGACTCTGTAACAACCAAATACATTTTTTTAAAGAAAGATGCACACGCGACAGTCTTCACAGTCTGGATAACCCAATTTTCCAACTTCTTTAACAAGATCATTTATAGTTTTCTGTACTCTGAATATAACAAATGGATTTCACTCTCACTACATTCAAGGGCTCCGTAGCTGTCCTCTGTGGATGAATAAATTACAAGCACCTCTCGTTGAGAGCTTGGGAAGCCTCTGGCACATAACCAGCTTTCAAACAATAATTTTTAAATATTCAGACTGCAACTTACCACCACCTACGATCCTTTTCCTGTCCCAGGCCCCTGGCTTTCCTGTGCAGTCAGACAGACCGTTGGCTCCCAGAAGAGACTTTATTGACAGATGGAGGGAGGGACAATGAAGCCAGCACCAATCAGATGAGAGAAGCCAAAAGCTCCTTACAATTTCCTGAAGGTACTGCGGACGTGATGGCAGGGGACTTAGAAAGATGCAGGTCCGTGTGTTCCCCCAGCTGCGATCTTCTGTGGGAGACCCAAGGTCGGTCCTGTGAATTCAGGGTCTGAGAAACAGGTGTTAGGCTTCTTCTTCATCAGAAAATGAGATGAATGGAAGACACAGTTACTGAGAGAATCTTTGGGAGCACACAGTAAAAGAGAAGTGAGTGTGAAGCAAAACCTGACGTCTGTACTTAAGCAATATTTCTTACACCTTTAAACACCTTATCTCTGAGGGCCACATTCTAAGGTGCTGAGTGTTGGAGGAGATACAGTTTATGCAATCACATACAAGAGAGAATACTGGAAATGGGCCAAAGGGACAAATGTACCCTGGATGGTGGATCTGGAGTGCAAGTCTCGGCTGGAGTGAGGGATTTGGGCACTGCCAACTGAAGTTCCATTGAAATATGGAGCATTGGCTATTATGGGCTACTGGACTCTTTTAGAATATTTTGCTGAGTTTACACACCTATAAAATTCAATAACGGAACTTAGGAAAAATGGGGTATACCGATGAATGCCCATTTTGTATCTGTGTATTCAAAGTGGTTAGGATAGATATATAGTTGCATTCTCTTAATGAATAGAATGATTTGTT